ACCTATGGCTGACCTTGGCGGATATGATGGAGGCCGACAAGCATCGCTTCCTGGACTCCCCGATCTCCCAGGTCGGCCTATTCTGCGAAGTGGTGGACGGCTTTGCCGCCACCGCTGGCTGCAGCCCCTCTGTCTGCTTGTCGCCGAGGGCGCCCTCCTGCGGCCTCCACCTCCGCTCCGGTGCGGCCACAACAGCAGCCTTCACAGGAAACCGGCGCAGCCCGCCTCCGCCCCTGCCAAGCCCGTGAAGCGCCAGGGCAGGCGGCGTCCCTGAGATGGGCGACCCGGAGCTCTTGGATCCTGCTCTTCAGGAGATGGTGACCGCACCACTCCTTCCCCCGGAGGAGGGCCGGGTGGAGAATCTTTTGTTCCCATTTGTTTCTGTTCCGCCACTGGCTACCCAGCCGGTGGTACCCAAAACTTCAATAAATTTTGTCCCGCCACTGGCTACCCAGCCAGTGGTACCCAAAACTTCAATAAAAGAGCACTTTCCTTTGCCTCCAGGTCCCAAGAGGGCGAGGATGGCAGTGCACGAGACCCAGTCTCCACACGGCCGTCCCCCTCTCCTTTCGCCTATGGGCACAGCCTCCCGGGTTGGGTCCCTGTGTTCCACTCTGCTGCCCCACTGCCGGTACGTCGGTGATTTCCCTGAAATGATTGACAAAGTTATATTAATTCACTGCAGGTGTGGCGAGGCAATAAAGTCATTTAAAGCAACATCCCGCTGTCCCGTGATAGACATCATAGAGTTCCTCCCAGAGTCTTTTAAGGTCTGTAAATTAACTTCCCACCTTATTAAAATCTGTAATTTTTTTATATAAAAATCTTTGACATGAAACCCTTCTCTTTTCTGAACAGCACCTTCTGGACCGGTGTATTTTAGAATCTGATCATGATGCCAACAGTCCGGATTATCATGTAAGCCTTGCACAAATGTGCAAAAAGTTGCATTAAAACTATTAATAATTGTTCAATGTTGTTGGCAGATCAAGTATGGTTTTCAGTGGCTTCAGGCTCCAATACAGTCAATGAAGTATGCTAAAGCAGACAAAGCAATGAAGTGCCAACCTTTAGCTGCTATGAACGTAAGTCCCCTTAATATATATATATTCAGTAAAAAACATTAAAAATTGAATATTAATAACTGTAAATTATAAGGTGACAATCTTTTTTCACTTACAGTCATCTCTTACAACTCTTAGAAATTTCACTTACATCTCTTTCACTTACAGTGAAATTTACAGTTTCAAAACTGTCAATTTAAAAGTATTTTACTGTAAAATCATGTCATGTTCCTTATAAGCATTGTTTCCAGTGATATCTGACTTTTAGACCCCATTGTACACTATACATTCTTAAATACAAAGCTCTTATTCTTTTTGCATCCTAAAACAGTGTGAGAATAAATTGTAACTCTTGTACCACACTAGGCCATGGTGCAGTACAACCGTCTGGAGCTCCTCACTCACCCCGTGAGCCAAAAATATCTGGAGATGAAGTGGTATGTAAAAGATGTGCTGTAACAGTTCTTGTCAAGATGTTTAACCTTACTATGATATGCTAATGTCTAAAGTCAGTTGTTTTTTTATGTCCTATACAATACAGTCACTGCATTTTACTTTAGCGCACATGGTTAAAAATATCAGCGTTACAGTGTTAACATCACTTCAAACAAATAGATTGATTTACATAAGCATTTGAATATCCTACTGAAACTGTGTTTTATTCGAACAGGAAGGCGTATGGAAGCAAGGTTCATTTGCTGAACCTGGCTGTCTACCTGCTTGGCTTGTTGCCCCTCACATACCTCATCCTCAATCTGAGACCGAAGCAGGATGTTTTTGGAAACAATACATCTGTCATCATGGTGCCCGTATCTTTTAGAGAGGTAGACAGCCTCTATTCAGAGTTCTCTGGCATCTTATAGGAAAGAGATGAGCTCAAGAGTTGAAGTGAACACAATGTAGAGTGTAATTCCTGTAATGTGTGGAACAAATGACAGCTGGAGACGAAAGTTAGAGGAAGCTAGAGATTACAGTTTTATAAAGTTTTAAATATGGATGTGGAGTACTTTTTATGATGGCTGAATGCACTTTAATTTGCTTCAAAATCTCAACCACCATTCACTGCCGTTATAAAGCTTGGAAGAGCTAGGACATGTTTTAATACAACTCCGATTGTATTCGTCTGAAAGAAGAAAGTCATATACATCTATATGGCTTGAGGGTGAGTAAATCGTGGAGTAATTTAGATTTTTAGGGTGAACTATCCCTTTAATGATGACATAATTTAAATTTTTAGATAAACTAATTCTTTAAAAAGACTTTGGCATTATTTAGAGGAATAGTTCACCCAAAGATAAAAAAAGTACTCACCCTCAAGATGTGTTTGCTGCTTAATCAGAACAGATTTGGAGAAATTGATCATTGTCATGTTATTGGATCCTCTGCAGTGAATGGGTGCCGTCAGAATGAAAGTTCAAACAGCTAATTAAAACATCACAATAAATATTCCACATGACTCCAATGCAGTGGTTAATGTCTTGTGAGGTGAAAAACGTTGTTTCTATTGAACAAATGCATCAATGAGATGTTTTCAACTTCAAACTGTTGCGTGGATCTAAAATATGAATAGTTAATTATAACTAGTTATGGTTAATTATTCATATTTCCCATGAGCTGATTCGCTACAATGCTAGTTGGGTTATGAATCAAAAGTGATACAATCATTATGTTAATGTAATTAATTTGGTGATAATGTTGTAATGACACACTCTCTCTCTCTCTCTCTGTCTCTTTTTATCTCCATCCAGCAAAAAAGTTTAATCTCAGCCTGTATAATCATGGTGCTTGTCTTTAATGTGTATTCCGTTTGCAAAGAGCTGGTGCAGATGGCTCAATATTTGAATGTGAGGAACATGCACACACCATAGCAGAGATTTTAATTAAGCACAATATGCTAGTTGGGTTATGAATCAAAAGTGATACAATCATTATGTTAATGTAATTAATTTGGTGATAATGTTGTAATGACACTCTCTCTCTCTCTGTCTCTTTTTATCTCCATCCAGCAAAAAAGTTTAATCTCAGCCTGTATAATCATGGTGCTTGTCTTTAATGTGTATTCCGTTTGCAAAGAGCTGGTGCAGATGGCTCAGCAGGTAATAGTTATGTCATCACTTCCCATGATGCATCCACTATAAATTCCTCTCATACTACAACACAGACTCTCAGCAGAGGGCAATCAAACCATCACTAATCATAAATGTCATGATGCAAATTAAACACTCATGCCTTTGCTGTGGGGATTCCCTTGCAGGGCTCTAAGCCTTCCAGCCAAGTGATTTAGCTATAAAAACACAGCTCAGATTTTGCATGCATTGTAGTATGTACTCTATTGTTCTATTTGCCACTGGCGAGGGTATTCAAATTGCACTATGTTTGGTACCTAAATGTTTGATTTTATTTAACTCCTCATGTCTTTTACATTACAGCGAATAAACTACTTCACGGACTTCTCTAACCCTGCTGACTGGGGTGCAGCTATTAGCTCTTTAGTCTTTGTCTTTCCCATGTGCTTCAATCTAGAGAACACATGGCAATGGGAGGCTGGAGCTTTCGCCATTCTGACTTCATGGATCGCTTTCCTGCTCTACTTTCAGAGGTTTAGTTTTAGTGGCCTTCCTAGAATTTTAATATGAACAAGTCACATTTTCTACGGATTTATCTCAAATAAACTGTATTTTACTAGGGGTGCCAATCAAGCCAATCAATTCAAATTTCTAATCAAATTAATTACAGTACATGATAAGCTGATTAATAAAATGAAGAACTATAAATTGTATTTAGTGTATATGTTGTAAGAAATGCACAATATATATTGATACTATATTATCAGCCTTTATTTGAGATTTTTATAAATGTATCCATATAGCCTTCCAGCCAAGTGATTTAGCTATAAAAACACAGCTCAGATTTTGCATGCATTGTAGTATGTACTCTATTGTTCTATTTGCCACTGGCGAGGGTATTCAAATTGCACTATGTTTGGTACCTAAATGTTTGATTTTATTTAACTCCTCATGTCTTTTACATTACAGCGAATAAACTACTTCACGGACTTCTCTAACCCTGCTGACTGGGGTGCAGCTATTAGCTCTTTAGTCTTTGTCTTTCCCATGTGCTTCAATCTAGAGAACACATGGCAATGGGAGGCTGGAGCTTTCGCCATTCTGACTTCATGGATCGCTTTCCTGCTCTACTTTCAGAGGTTTAGTTTTAGTGGCCTTCCTAGAATTTTAATATGAACAAGTCGGATTTATCTCAAATAAACTGTATTTTACTAGGGGTGCCAATCAATTCAAATTTCTAATCAAATTAATTACAGTACATGATAAGCTGATTAATAAAATGAAGTACTATAAATTGTATTTAGTGTATATGTTGTAAGAAATGCACAATATATATTGATACTATATTATCAGCCTTTATTTGAGATTTTTATAAATGTATCCATATGAGTCGATATTTGATATTGTGCATGTTAATTTCCCCTATTTTTTAAATTTAGTATACACTACTGTTCGGAAGTTTGGAGTCAAAGATTTTTAGTTTTTTTAATGTTTTAATGCATTTGCTTGATTTAAAATGCAGTAAAAAATAGTAATATTGTGAAATCTTATTACAATTGAAAGGTATTAGTACAATTGAAAGTTTTTCTATTTTAATATACAGTATTTTATGATGTAATTAATTCCTTTGATGCAAAGCTACATTTTCAGCAGCCATTACTCCAGTCTTCAGTGTCATATGATCCTTCAGAAATCATTCTAATCATGCTTATTTGGAGCTAAAGAATGTTTCTTGTTATTATCAATATTGGTATATTTTTTGTGGAAACCATTATTTGCAATAGTAAAGAAATTTATAATTTTACAAAAGATTTCTGTCACTTTTCACCAATTGAATGCATCTTTGCTTAATAAAAGCATTTGTTTCATTCTAAATTAAAATAAAATAAATAAATAAAAAACAATAATTAAAAAAAAACGTTTACCTTTTGGCATAATCTAACACTCACTTAAAAGAAATTATTTAATTTTTAATTTATTTATTTATTTCATAAATCAATTCTCATATGCCCTTTTCACATGGCAGGTTTGAGAGAATTGGAATTTACGTGGTGATGTTTGGTGGAATCATTAGGACCCTGTTGTGCATCATGATTCTCTTTATCTTCCTCTTACTCGCATTTGGATTGGCCTTCTACGCTTTGATGCTCCACCAGGTAAGTCCAAACAGAGAGATCATATCAACCCAGCATGACAGACCTGTCAAGTCTTGGCAAATCGGTGCGGTTTGATAATGATGTTTACTGTTTGCTGCTTTCGACAGGATGAGTTCAGCTCCATCAGCCTTGCGTTAGCCCAGACATTTGTGATGACAGTGGGAGAGCTGAATTACCAGAGCACATTTCTGAACGCTTATGAAAATGGCCGCATGGCATTCCCTGGAGTCACCTATTTTATTTTTGTGATCTTTGTGCTCCTCATGCCTATTCTTCTCATGAACCTAATGGTAGGACACTCAACACTTGCCTGCTGGAAGCCAGCTATTATTGTTAGTTATGACTGCAATATGTTAGGACATATTAGGCTTATTTGTCTAAATTATGTTGCAGATTGGTTTGGCAGTAGGAGACATCGCAGAGGTACAGAGAAATGCAGAGTTGAAGAGGATAGCCATGCAGGTGAGCAGACTGCATTGACTACAGCTAATACCTCTAATTGATGTACATTTTTAGCAGTATTTTGCTAAATTGTTTAACAAAACCTAGTAAGATTTAAAAACCCCGTTTAATCAAAATTGGAGATTTGTGGTGTTTTTAAATTTTTGATTTAAAAAAATTTACTTGGTAGTGTACTTTCAAAGTCGGCAAAGTTAACTAAGAAATAAACTACTGTTCAAAAGTTTGGGGTCAGATTTTTCTTTCTTTAAAAAAAATTAATTAATAATAATAATTTTATTCAGCAAGCATGCATTAAATTGATCAAAAGTGACTGAAGACATTTATAATGTCACATAAGATTTGAACTTTTGAACTTTCTATTAATCAAAGAATCCTGAAAAAAAAATCCATAAACATATTAAGCAACACATCTGTTTTTAACATTGATAACAATAAGAAATGTTTCTTGAGCAGCAAATCCGCATATTAGAATGATTTGGCATTGAAGACTGGAGTAATGGCTGCTGAAAATTCAGCTTTGCCATCACATACAGTACATAAATAAATTACATTTTAAAATACATTAAAATAGAAAACAGTTATTTAAATTGTAATAATATTTCACAATATTACTTTTTTACTGTATTTTTCTGTCTTGATGAACATAAGAGACTTAAAAGTGTCTTACTGACCCCAAAATTAGCATTTAAAACTTACTTTATATAACTAAAATATGATTGGTATTAAAATATTGTAATGATAAAATATTAATGACTCCCTCCCCCTACTGCCACCAGCGTCTGACTACCAGTGGTGAGTAGAAAATCAGGATTCACAGCTGTGGCACAAATTATTGACAAAAAAAACATGTCTCGCCCCAAACTTACAATTTCAAAATGAAAAGCACCAACACAGGAAAAATAACTCTTATCAGTAAAAGTATAAGTAGTGCTTCACGTTACTCAAGAAAGCACTTCATTACAGATAGATCTTCACACTGCCCTTGAGGAGAAGCTACCTTACTGGTTCCTGAAGCGTGTGGACAAACCGACTATCACCATCTATCCCAATAAATGCAAGGTTTGTCTATAATAACAATAACAATTGTGATTACTATTCTGGTCACACATGAACTTCTGATAAAATTCTGTAAAAAACATTTTTTTCAAACAATAAAGACATTTGGGTGAATATTAACTTTTAATGACAATCATTTGTAATACAGAAAGTGCTGATGCAGGTGCTCATTGAGGGCGAGATCCAAAACAGAGTTCGCACCCGTCTGAACCTCTGTTCACGGCAAGGAGGGCCTCTGGAGAGAGAGCTGCACAAACAGAAGAACAGGTGATCTCTTTGTACTACCACCGCTGTTTTGGGTTTACTCAGGAACACCAACTTTGAGCAACAAAAAGGGTTTGAGCAGAAACGTATGTTATAGTGTGAACTTTTTAGAAAAGATTTCTATTTCTCCATTTATTGAACATCACAATAAAAAATGAGAAGGTTTATCAGCCTTTTTATGCAATAATGTGCCTATAAAACCATCTGTCAGAATAAAAGTGCCAAAACTGTACCTTTAGAAGTACAACAGCTTGTCACTGGGACATTAAGGTACCTCTGTACCTTTTAACAACATTCAAAAATATATTTGTACCTAAACTACCTTTAAAGGATATATATTAGTACTTTAAGATGTATTAAAGATACATTTAAGTGTACAATTTGAGTGTACAGTGCCAAGCTGTTAAACAACTTTTCTGAAACCTCTACAAAACATTTGGAGCATAATCCTTATTTTATTTATTTATTTATTTATTTATTTGTTTGTTTGTTTGTTTGTTTATGTTTTGTTTTGTTTTGTTTTTTGTATGTGTGTGTGTACTTGGAAATAATGCACTAAAAACTTACTATCTAACCAGGTGGATGCATGTAAGCAAACCAGGGTTATTACCATGAACTAAAATCATTAAAAACACATTTAAAATAAACAAAATAAAATATTTTGCGAACTTGAGCTAGTAAAGCAATATTTCTCATTTTTGTTTAGTTTATGTTGAATTACTAAAATGACTAGATAACCTAAAACTTTAAAACGATATAGATGTATTCAATATATGTACCAAAAAAGTACTAAAACTTTAATAATATATCAATGATACTAAAATAGCACTGCCACAAACCTTTCAGACTTGTGGGAGAGCAGCCTCTAGTGTTCATTGGCTATAATGCACCATCAACTACACATTCATATTCATAAAGCAAATTCCTTTGAATTTGAATTTTAAAGCTTTTAGCAATTCAAATATGAATGGCACACAGCTCTAATTTCCATAGCTCACCTACCTTACTTTTTAGAGCGTTTCAGATAATGTGATTTATTACATATAATTTTCAAAATAATTTTTGAAATACAGTCTGCTCATAATTTCATAACAAAAGCAAGCATTTTATTACAACTGAGCAGTGGCATGTGGTTGCATCAGTTAACATGTACTTGTATTTTTATTCACTTATCTATTTAAGCCTATGTAAGTTGTCAGACATACAACATAGACTGCATTCGATCCGCTCTTCCCTTCAGGTTGAAAGCGATGTTCTGTATGCTGGAGAAACAGCATAACCTGCTCAAGCTGATCATCCAGAAGATGGAAATCACTTCTGAGGCTGATGAATATGACTGCCCACATAACCCTAGAGCTCTGAAACAGCCCACTTCCTCCTCATCTCAGAAGTCAAAGTGGGTCCCGCTGCTGCAAGCTATTAAGGCAAAGAAGTGATATTAGAGATGATGACATCATGTGCAAATATAAGCCAAATAACTTTTGTTGTGCTATATTTTGTTGTGATTTAGTATATTAATTTGAGCTGTTCTTCTTATCTGATTAAGTGTAATTGTGTAATCATACATTCATAGTGTATTTAGAAGGTTACACTGATAATATTAAGTCAGTCTATTTAATCCACTTAAAGTTTGTAATGAACTCTGAAGAGAAGTGTTTGAATGATATCTAGTGCTGTAATACATAATGAAGATCTTATAGCATCAATACTGAAGATGAGAAAATCATTTAGAATTAATGCTCTGAGAAGCTCCTAATGCAAACTTAAAGACTTCAAACTCTGTGATGCATATAGATTTGTCTCACCGATCGGTCCACATTTGTTCTCAACATAGCATGTGAATTTCATCTGGCCTCATGCCCGGATGTAGTAACCCTGAGACGCTTTGTCATACCAAACACTAATTTCAAAGCAGTTCTGCCGAAGGAGAGCACAAGTGTGTAACCCTCATTTTTGGGTCTCTTTTAGTCCATTTTTTAGTATATCCACCACTACATCATGATGAGTTTCACATGAAAGCTGCATTCAATAAAACCATCTTATTGATCAGATTGTCAATGGTGATTTCACAGACTTAAACAAGTCACTCAAGCTGGGAGTAGATTAAGACATGCAACTGCATGGCCAGAACACTGTAAAAATCACTTTGTGATTTTGCATGGACATCATGGGATGTAGTAAATTTGATGACAAGGATCACAATATGCACAATTGCAGTACATGTGTTTGATGCATGAAAAACCAAAATACCACCTCAGTTCTTCGAGTCTCAATTTTTCTGACATTGAAACCCAGTCAGCTGTTCTTAGGCTTTGGAGGCAAATAAGAGAAAAACAACAATTCGCATCTGTCATCTGGTCAGTATTTCACAGCATTAGGAGTTTACAGAGCCCAGATACATCACTTCCTCCTCCAAAGGGTAAGCAGCATTTCTCACACCCACCACTCAGAGCTCAGCTAGACAGATATAAAAAGATCTCAGTCACAGAGCATTCACATCATTCCATATCACAGATTTGATCTGCAGATTCATCCATCTAGACAGCCTTGCAAGATATCAAGACATTTTGCAATGTTTGACATTTTAAAGGGATAGTTCACCCAAAAATGAAAATTCTGTCATCATTTACTCACCCTCAAGTAGTTTCAAACCTGTATGAATGATTTTGTTCTGCAGAACAAAAAGGAAGATATTCTGAAGAATGTGGGAAACAGAGCAGTTCTGGGGCACCATTGACTTCCATAGTATTTTTTTCTCCTACTATGGAAGTCAATGGTGCCCCAAAACAGCCTGGCTACAAACTTTCTTCAAAATGTCTCCCTTTCTGTTCGGCAGAACAAAGAAATGTATACGGGTTTGGAACTACTTGAGGGTGAGTAAATGATGACAGAATTTTCATTTTTTGGTGAACTATTGCTTTAAGATGTGTTTTATTAACAGGTTATTCTGGAAAAAAAAAATTGTGAAATATGTTTTATATATATATCAGAAATAAAAGCAATGAGTTTTACTTTTTATAAAGAAAAAAAAAATATTTGCATGCAAATTAAGTATATTTCCAGCTAATTCGCTACCTAAATTAAAGAGTTATGTATTCTATTTTATTAAATTATTCAAGCATTTCCATAATGAAAATGTGTTTGTTCAGTTCTGCAATGCTCATCTGATACTAATAATATTAAAAAGTTAATAATAAATAAAAGTTAGGAATAATTAAGATTATCATAAGAGAGTCTCTTTTTCGCACCCAAGTTTCATTATTTTAATAAAAAATGTTGTAAAATCAGTAATTATAACAATTTAAAATAACTTTGTTCTATATAAGATGTGTTTTATTAACAGGTTATTCTGGAAAAAAAAAATTGTGAAATATGTTTTATATATATATCAGAAATAAAAGCAATGAGTTTTACTTTTTATAAAGAAAAAAAAAATATTTGCATGCAAATTAAGTATATTTCCAGCTAATTCGCTACCTAAATTAAAGAGTTATGTATTCTATTTTATTAAATTATTCAAGCATTTCCATAATGAAAATGTGTTTGTTCAGTTCTGCAATGCTCATCTGATACTAATAATATTAAAAAGTTAATAATAAATAAAAGTTAGGAATAATTAAGATTATCATAAGAGAGTCTCTTTTTCGCACCCAAGTTTCATTATTTTAATTAAAAATGTTGTAAAAGCAGTAATTATAACAATTTAAAATAACTTTGTTCTATATGAATATATTTCGAAATGTAATTTATTCCTGTGATGCAAAGCTGAATTTGCAGCAGGCTCTACTTCAGTCTTCAGTGTCACATGATCCTTCAGAAATCATTATAATATGCCTATTTGCTGCTCACCAAACATTTATTAATATAATGAAAAATATATATATATTTTTATTTATTTTTCTATACAGTAACGAAAATCCTTAAAAGAAGTATCCATTTTTTAAAAGCAAAATCTAACTACTTATTTCCACTGATTTTAAGGTAAGGTATGATCTGGACGTGTTCTTAGGTTTTGTGAGATTCTCTTCCATCAAAGTCAGGCTGGAACTGGGAGCAAATGGATAGTTCACTCTTCAGCTACTTATATCATTCAATTAAATGTGCTTGATTCAATGCAGGGGGAGGCTTGACTCAAATGGGGGGCGTATTGATTTTCCCTAATGGCTGTTTTGATGCTGTTACATGCCATTTGTTTTACACTGCAGCTGTGAGAGCGTGGTGACCATGGGAACCAGGGGAGGAGAGTGCGCATAGCTGATGTCATAGTCCTGCACCTGTCCCGCTTACTCATTCACACAAAACAGAGGGAGAGAAAGAAGGAAAAGAGCCACTGCCCACGCTATGACCATTAATACGCTTACCGACAGACAACTGCACATTTCTCATGTTAGTTCTGTCTTAAAACAACGTGGGCAGCATTGTTCCCATGTAATTAGTCCCTCTGTGGAAGCTTGGGAAAAATGTGCTTACACAGTTGTTTAAAGCAGAGATTAGTGTTAAAATGCTAAGGTGCCCCTGTTGCTGCTTCACATGCGTTTGTTTGCTTACACTTCATACTAAGGCATCTCGATCCTGCAGATTTTCCCTCAAAGAGGTGTAGTTTTTAGTTTAAATCATTGCAAGCTCAGAGCAACAGGTTCCCATATGTGACCCTGGACTACAAAACCAGTCTTAAGTCGCTGGGGTATATTTGTAGCAATAGCCAAAAATACATTGTAAGGGTCAAAATTATAGATTTTTCTTTAAAAATGTTGTAAAAGCAGTAATTATAACAATTTAAAATAACTTTGTTCTATATGAATATATTTTGAAATGTAATTTATTCCTGTGATGCAAAGCTGAATTTGCAGCAGGCTCTACTTCAGTCTTCAGTGTCACATGATCCTTCAGAAATCATTATAATATGCCTATTTGCTGCTCACCAAACATTTATTAATATAATGAAAAATATATATATATTTTTATTTATTTTTCTATACAGTAACGAAAATCCTTAAAAGAAGTATCCATTTTTTAAAAGCAAAATCTAACTACTTATTTCCACTGATTTTAAGGTAAGGTATGATCTGGACGTGTTCTTAGGTTTTGTGAGATTCTCTTCCATCAAAGTCAGGCTGGAACTGGGAGCAAATGGATAGTTCACTCTTCAGCTACTTATATCATTCAATTAAATGTGCTTGATTCAATGCAGGGGGAGGCTTGACTCAAATGGGGGGCGTATTGATTTTCCCTAATGGCTGTTTTGATGCTGTTACATGCCATTTGTTTTACACTGCAGCTGTGAGAGCGTGGTGACCATGGGAACCAGGGGAGGAGAGTGCGCATAGCTGATGTCATAGTCCTGCACCTGTCCCGCTTACTCATTCACACAAAACAGAGGGAGAGAAAGAAGGAAAAGAGCCACTGCCCACGCTATGACCATTAATACGCTTACCGACAGACAACTGCACATTTCTCATGTTAGTTCTGTCTTAAAACAACGTGGGCAGCATTGTTCCCATGTAATTAGTCCCTCTGTGGAAGCTTGGGAAAAATGTGCTTACACAGTTGTTTAAAGCAGAGATTAGTGTTAAAATGCTAAGGTGCCCCTGTTGCTGCTTCACATGCGTTTGTTTGCTTACACTTCATACTAAGGCATCTCGATCCTGCAGATTTTCCCTCAAAGAGGTGTAGTTTTTAGTTTAAATCATTGCAAGCTCAGAGCAACAGGTTCCCATATGTGACCCTGGACTACAAAACCAGTCTTAAGTCGCTGGGGTATATTTGTAGCAATAGCCAAAAATACATTGTAAGGGTCAAAATTATAGATTTTTCTTTTATGCCAAAAATTATTAGGATATTAAGTAAAAATCATGTTCCATGAAGATATTTTGTAAATTTCCTACTGTAAATATATCAAAACTTAATTTTTGATTTGTAATATGCATTGCTTAGAACTTCATTTGCACAACTTTAAAGGCGATTTTCTCAATATTTCGATTTTTATGCACCCTCAGATTTCAGATTTTCAAATAGTTGTATCTCGGCCAAATATTGTCCTATCCTAACAAACCACACATCGATGGAAAGCTTATTTATTTTCAGATGATGCACAAATCTCAATTTCGAAAAATTTACCCTTATGTCTGGTTTTGTGGTCCAGGGTCACATATTATTTTATTTTCATGTAAAACAGTTTCGACCTGCTATAGTTAAAAAGCATGTGAATGTGTCCTTTAAGGCTCATCCTGGAAGAAAATGCAGGTCACTGAACTCGCTACTGTGCCTTATGCGATATGCATCTCTAGATTTATAGAGATTCTTACCATTCATAAAGGCTATAAAAATTTTAAGCCTTTTTTCCACCAATGGGCAGAACAGTTCTCATTGCGAAACATCCCAGTTTCTTTTTCCACTGTGGTGCTGTGAAATTAGAATTATGGTGCAGCCACATTTT